TCCAGGTATGGGTGCCACATGGGTACCCCATGGGACTACTGTGCAGCTCCAATGTTCACCACAACCGCTCACTGGTGATGGAGCGAAGATACGATGCTTCAAAAACAAGGGCCACATGTCGAACGTGCACGCAAACGCGCATGAAATACGGGATGTGCAATGCAACAGATCTAGACTTTGGATCGACAAATTGTTGTCTGTGGTGATTTTGAGCAGGACAGAGTATGCGATGTTCTGCCAGATATTGACGGCGGAGATGGCTGCCGACATGACTCTGTCCACGATTCCAATGACCTCGCAGCAGCAGTCATCTTTCGACACACCCTGCAGTGGAGTCAGTGCTGCAATAGCGGCTGCAGCGTCTTCCGTCAAGGAGGCTAGCGTGGGCGCCAGGGAAGGCCGCAATGGCGCAGCGATCACCTTGACCTCGCTGTGGGCCTTGTTCAGCTCCTCCACCGACTATCTGTAGCCCTCGAATGCCCCTGGTAACTCCTGGAGGGTCGCAGCGATCTCCATCTCCATCTCGCCGTGACTGCTCTGCCGTGACCGCTCGAGGCCTCGATGCCACCGGGGCCCTGCTCCGATTCGCCTGGATGTGGCGAGGGAGGCGGAAGCCTGGAGGCGAAACTCCCAGGTGCAAAGAAAGTGGCGCAGTTGACCCAAGGCGTCCAAAGCGGCCGGAGACGGCAAAGCATCATGGGCTGCCAGCTCGTCGCAGATAATAAGACCCAAAGTTAAACGCATGGATTAGACCTTCTATCGATCATTGTCTTATGCAGGCGGCTCATGTACCTTAGGGCTCCAAGCAAGTAACCTTATCAGAATTATATAGGCTAAATTTACAACCTGCAAGTACCAGATTCTATCATGAATGATGAATGATGCAGGCAAAATGTACCTAGAACATCCTAGAACCTGATTGACCCCTGTTTTGGATTCAACACCCTATCAAAACAGAGGTCAAGCGGTTGTAGGTAGGTAAGAATGGATTGTTTGGAAACTGAATGAACCCCAAACAGTTGAGGTTCCTTCACAAGACAAACAGCATGGCGCCCACAACTTCCTTCGGCCGTGCCTGGGCTATCAACCACACGGTCCAGGAAGCTCGCAAGGAGAACGAGCAAAGCAGCGCGAAAGAAGGCCATTGCTCTCATTGAAATCCGGACGCCTGTAATTTGACACTGGAGTTGGGATTTTAAAAAAACACACACATGAATGCTCCCACCTTATCCTGGGCGGATCGTCTCACCGACCAAGAACAGGTGGTGAAGAGTCGGAGGCGGCTTGCTACAGGAAACTTCTATGTCAGCTTGATACCCCTTTTTTCGGGTACCAGCAAGGCCATCAATGTTCGGATGTTTATATCATTGGTTGGTGGGACAACCAATGGCCTTAGTGGAATCTTTGACCAAGATCGCCCGGGCCCACCTCACATTGCACTCCAGTTCCTTGGGGGAAGCTTCCCAGTCGCATCAAGGCTCTTTGCGCGCCGTTGTTCAGTACCTGGGCGCAGTTCAGCTGGTGTGTCGTTCCGGCCCTCGAATCCACGGACTCTCTTCTATACCTGGAGTCAACCTCTGGTCGTACCTGTTTTGGGTTTGCGCCAGGTCCCACTGGGGTCCAGGTAGACGTCTAGACTGGCGTCCACTGTCCACGAAACCTTTCCCTTCGAGATGCAAGATCCTTGGTAGAGAGACTAACTGCTGGTTACACGGTTGCGCAAGTTTTGAGATACGCCCAGACGCGGTGCACGAACACACAAATAATTGATGTTGATGATAAACCTCCCCCTAAGACCCTACAGAGATGAACATCAGGATCGGCAAGCATTTCCAGGGGGTCATTGATCCTGCTCCCACCCTGAAGAGGGTTTCAAAACACCAGGCAAAAAGTAGGGGGAAGGCAAGAAGCTACGAGCAGCTCGCCGCGAGAGTCGCCTGTCGCGAGCTCCAGCTACGAATACATCACATGGGCCGTGGATGGGATGTGATGATCCCAAACAGAAACGCTCCAAGTATGGAACCCTAGGGATCCAAGTACCTTCTCAGAAGGTGATTGGAGACACTCTTATGTAGGTTTTGAGAGTCCAAGTACCTTCTGAGAAGGTACTTGGATCCCTAGGGGAATATATATCTACATTGACCCCCCAAACCACCACCCCTGGCCGTTTCTCGGTAAATGTACCAATCCCAGACAGCTCGTGTCTGGGAAACGATGCGAAACGTCCACTGTCCAGGCCGAGGGGAGCGGTGACGAAAGCAGGCCGAGGGCAGGGATGAGCATGCCAATGCACACGTCCCAGGAAGGAGTTAAACTCGCAGGGAGGGGGACCGTACGCATGAAGTGTTCCGATGCGGCGCTCTCGAGGATTCCACCCCCTCACTTGCTAAAGCAAGAACAACTCCAGCTAGCAGCTACAAGGCTACAAGTAGAGACCGGTAGAGACCGAGGCCACGAAAAAACACCCGGTAGAGACCGAGCCTCCACACGAAACACCAAGTTTCAGACGTTTTTGGACGGAGAGTGTAGGCTTCTATCATCAGTGCAACACAAGAACCTGGACCCGACTTCGTTCGTTCCCCGGAACATGACCCAAACACAAAACGGGCATGTACTGGTCACGGTACGACCAGCTCGACTCCAGGAACAGAAAGGATTCTTCCACTGTTCCAACAAGCCCCGCGTGTCTGTCGTCCCGCGTGTCTATCGTCACACGAACTCACAGGCCAAGTCGCCGGATGCGTCGGCTCCGTCGCGCAAAGCGCTCCAGCGCGCTCGGCTCGGCGAGCTGAGCTTGAGGTTCGGGCGGGCGAATGTATGAGAGTGGCCATGATCCATCTAAGCCTTTGCTGACAAGCTTATAGCGATGGCTGATTCTGCTTGTGTCTATATGTATGAAAGTCATGACTGGCAAAAAGGAAAAGGCATGCAAGACACAATTCGTTTGTGAAGATCTGTTTGGACTCAACAGAGGTATTAAAATTACTTTTGCATGCCTACCAGAAATGGAATCAGCGACTGTCCTATAATACAAGTCATTGGGAGCCTAAGATTAAGTATACAACCCCTAAACCCTAGGGCTCTAAGCATATCCTCAGAAGGTGGTTAAGCCTTCTCAGGAGGTAGATTTGCCCTCAGGACCCCCAAACGAATGCCGAGTCCAGGTACGCCGCACGCGGAGCTGAGGACTTGTGACGAGTAAAGTTTGTTCAGGGTGATTGCCATTCCTCTTCTATTCCTCTTCTATTCGGCGGACATGCCTTGCCCCACAAACGGTCGGCGAGTACAGTACTCACGTGGCTCGGCCAGCTTGAGATCACGAGACGCAAACGCATGGTATACGCTATACGAGCTAAAGCGTTCCACAACGTGACAATGACACCCCTTCTCGTTCGCCTTCAAGCTACAGTTCTTCAAATGAGAGGCGCAAAAACGAACATATGCAAACATCTCGTGGAACATCGCTAGAACATCATATCGACATGTGTTTGTTTCCCACAGACGGGTCACCTTCCAGGTCGATCTACAAATAAATATATAAGACAAATATATTATATAGAACCTGACAGGCCCCCTGTTTTGCAGCCCAAAAACATTGTCAAACTTCCGAATCTTCCTTAAAAAACAAAGGTCGTTTACGGCTTTGACCGATCTGGTCAGTGGATGAGTTGCAGGAGATCTCCCCAAATTGTGATGCTCTTGTTTTACTGACTGCTACAGCTTTTCGAAGACAAACCCAACATATACCATACATGGATTCTTGGGGTATGGTCAAAGCTCGCTGGGCTCCTTGGGATTTCTCTTGAGGCCTTCATCGTACTCGGCCTTGGCCTCGGCATATTTCTTCTCCTGCCCGGTCCGACGCCCGGAACGAACGCCGGGAACGCGGGCCTCTCTGTCCTGAAGCTCCGTTGCTGTCGGCGAGAATGGGGGTGGGGTGCTAGGCGGGTCGAAGAACTACCTGAGGATGTGAGGATGGGAGCCATTTAGATCCAAGACTTGAGGATATACCAAATTGGTCATAATGATGATATACAACCACCTGAGGATATATCAAAAACTACCAAAAAAGAAACGCACCGACCCGACCCCTTTTTGAGGCTCCACCAGATGGGTTCTTCGCGGTTCCATGGGTGAGGGGTTGGTCAAACGGCAGGGATGGTGAGTACAGATGGTGGATTGGAAGGGATTTCAGGACTATCCTGAAGGCACCGGTGGGCAGTACGGAGATGGGTACCTTAAACTTCGAGTACGGATGGTTTGTTCGAAGGCAGTACGCATCTTCTGGATACGCGTGGGTTCATAGGGGGAAGCAACACATTTGTCTTGCAAAGATGCTTACTCGGTGGGGGCAATGGTATTTTGGGGGGGATTGACAAATGTATATAATATATGCTTTTTTTGGGGGGAGATTTTCGAACTCCAGAAAGGACAAAGAAAAGCAACAAACTATGTAAGTCCAAAGTCTCCTGATGAAAACCAAGCTCCATGTCAATGTCATGGCGTCATGGCATTTCCAAGGATCAACTTTATATCCCAGGATGAGGTAGTCCCCTGAGCACGTCACTTACAGACTCCAAGGAGGTCACTTTGAAGGTCCAACGTCATGGCATCTTCCTTGGGCCACTACATGTTTGAAGGTACTTGGACCCTGAAAGGAAATGAACAATCCTCAAGACACTCGACAGCATGGATTCATCTTGCGGAGCATGTTTGGGAACTGACCGATGGACCGGTAAGCTAGCGCGAGGAAGATGCTTGGCAACCTGTTTTCCTCCGCACATGTGGGCACCGAACTCGGCCTTCTTAGCCGAATTCGGACGTTTTCTGGAACCTTTGTACAAATGTTGGTATCTGTTTGAGATCGAACCATCAAGTGATGGAAACCATGGTATGTATCTCCTCGCCCTGACGCCACTGAACCATCTAAACTGTGCATCTATATATCTCCTGAGATATCATCAAGACCTTCAAAAACTATCCGAGATTCACTCAATTGATCAGTCAATCTCATCCAGATCCAGCATGCCTTCCGGCCTTCGTTCTGTTGCTCCAACTGGTGCAGAGCCGCGGCTCACGTCACCTGTAACCCTTTGTTCCCCCGTCTCCAACACCTCTTCTCCGCGTGGCACCGGCGCGCCGCGGGCGTCTGGGCGCTTGGGCACGGGACGAGGCGCTGCGCTCTCCCGGTGACGGGAGAGGCGCACGGCGGGCAGCAACAAGGAGGAGACATAGAGTTGATGGGGGGGCTCCGGATTCAGTGAGAAGCAATAGTCGAAGTGCAAGAGCAAATAGAAGCCAAGCCTGAGGTGCTTCGGCGATGTGAGGAGGTTTGAGTGGTGATGGGCAGATATCGGCCAGAAAGTGTGGGGTTGAGAAGAGGAACAGCACCAACTCTCGTTAAAGCGTTTTGGCACTGACCTATAAATTACTGTTTCTTTTGCACAAATACAAGCGTGACATGATGTTTTGAAAGATACAAGACCCTGGAACGCGGTGGTCAGAAGAAAACAATTGCATGGCAACAGCAAGGTTTTGAAGAATTCTCCCTGGAACGGGCCATAGTCCTGTGGTTGCTGAGTGTCCTGAGCCACAGTCGTCAGTCCTTTCAGCAACATCGACTTAGGGATGCTCAGGGTGAACGTATAGCCTGGAGTTGTGCCGAATTGCACGCTCGTTTTCTTTTGTTCGAGGCAGGGTAAGTTTGACTTTCCTATCTAGACATCATCGGTTGATCATGGACCCTTGCTTTGGGTAGGACAATGGGGGTGGGTGCCAGGGGGTTCTAACCACCTTGTGAGCCTATGGTTGGAGCCTTAGGGATGGATGGATCATAAATGGTCATAATATGTCATAGTGTAACTGGGGTCCATCCACCAGGGCTGATGATGGTTTGGCCAGGGCTTTTTCACTCAGTGATGCAAACCTGTTGCCGTTCTGCTTCTCCGACTGTTCCAGGTCATATAGGACCAAACGCCGTGACGTAACCCGCTGGTCCCGAACCCGGATGCTGCGCCGATGTCCCGAGGTACGAGATATGTGATGAGATCACGAGCCAGACCAAGAGCCACTTGCAACCATAAGGCCACCTCATCTGTGGCGAAACAGCACGTTTCTGGCTTGCCCTGGATGAGAACGAATCACCACCGTGATGTACATGCACATTGGGGTGGTTGAAAAGGGGTGAATGTAGGCTGGTGATGGCTGGTGTATTCTATATACCATGCATGGAGTGTTTGAGCAAGATTGTTCATGAATTTTCATGAGCTGTTACACCGGATACTTTTTCTACCTTGGAGTGGAGCTGAACGCCGACCGGTGGCATGGGGAGAAACAAAAAACGACAAGGAACACAGGCAAAACAACTGTAGCAACACCCATGTCAAATTGGCTGGGGCAAGCCAGCAAATCTCCTTCAATAGCAAGAAGCCAGCTCTTTTACAGTGCGACACATGAGTGTGTGAGGAACACATAACTAAATCGACATCCAACTCCTTCAGGCATGATCATGCAGCATGTAAGGAACCCACAGATTTCTACGTTTTCTACCATGCCTGTTCGTCTTGCAAGGACGCGATCTTTCCTCGCTTATAACCGCTCATTCTCTTCAACACCGCACAATCCCAGATCAATGTGTTGCCTGATCATGCTCAGGAAATCCATGCTTTTCGTTTCGTGAAGCGGTTCTTCGTGGTAGCCAGTATATGTGTGGTAGCGATGTAGTCGTGGCGCCTAATTCGGCTGCTTATTTGGTTTCTACTTCCGCATGGATATCCGGCAGCTGACGGCGAACTGGATCCTTCCAGGTTCCCAGCCTGTTCCACGTTCCAAACCTCTCTAAGCGCGGAATTTTACCTGCCTTGAGATGTGCTGTTGAGACACCAAAGAGTAACACAACGCAACAAGTTAAACGACCTGGTAATCCACATATCATTTGAGGAACTAGTGTTTGACTCTCCACTTACCCAACTCAAATTGTCATATTACCAGTCACCTTCGAAGGTGCCAGTGGATGCTTATAAGGTGACAAAAAAATCCAATCTATTTACCTCCAAACAGTACAGACTCCAAACCCATCATGGTTCCAACCCCATCCATCCACAAACTGGAACACCTCACCCATGTATACGCCTATAGTGTTGTTTTCTCACTCTGAACAACACATTAGGGGGCCGGTTGTGCGATATTTCGAAAATACTGCCAAGGTGTGTTGGCGCCACTCGTTTGGGAAAAGGAGTGTTCTATATATCCACTCTGTGTATGATATCTTCGCCAACATTGAGCCCCTGTTCAACCCCACCCAATTAAATTGTGTTATAATTCCATGCACGGTTGAAGTTTCAGCTCACCTCCCACTATAATCCTCTCTTTCCGTTCTCCAGGCCACCAGTAGACATAGGCCAGCGGTCCCGCGTTCAAGATCAGCGCCGCACGTGGAAAGGTCCAGCGACTCTGCAAGGTCCGCACGTGGGCGAGACCCCAAAACCTCCCCGCGTCGTTCACCACGCGCCGAACGAACAGTGCGACGACTCCGCGGCGAAGGAACGCTGGAGCCGAACGTGTTGGAGCCGAATGTGGGAGTTTCGACCAGTTTCGTCAGAGTTTGGGGGTTCGACCTGCGTCGTTTGGGGAGTCCAGTTTCTGTTTTTTTTCTGGTTCAGGTTATTAACATATTTAAATCAATGGTGGGCCAGGAAGCTCTAGGGTTGGCTTAAGGGAACCTCAACAGGAAACACATGATTTTGAACCCGGTTCTGATCAGTTGAAACATGTTGAAACCCCAACAATCAGGGCCAAGAAAAAGGTGAAGCTTCCTTTGGGGATTGAAACCCCTACGAAAGTCAGAGGGTTTCATGATGGTTATATAAGGGAGTGAAACTTTATAAAGGAGACCCATGGTTTTTGACACTCCAGAACTCCAGAACTATGGGTGTCCTGCCGATGTTTCGCAGATGTTCCCTCAAAGCAATTCTGGAATTCATGCTCTTTTGGTTGGATAATCATAATCCAACTGGGGGCCCTCTGACGCAAAGTCAAACAGGATCTTCGAACCTGAACCGTGTTGGGGGCAGCAGCTTTTCGACTGGGGCAGCGCTCACAATTCTCCATAAGTCCAACGACTCTATTCTGCCCCACAGAAGTAAAGGAAATGAAAACAAGTTCCTCTTCAGGTCACCTAAAGACTGAACAGCGGTTCAGCAGCGTGCGTGCGGTTCTCACACCACGCACGTGGTGCGTGGGTCGCGGCATGTGGGTCGCCACCTCAAGGGGGTTTGGATCTGTGGAGGCCTTCGTACTTGAGGAAAATGGGTACCAGCCACTGGTCGCTCTGGGTGCCGAACGAACAGAGGTCGGACCGGAGTGCGGATCTCCGCCACACCACCCCCGAGCGACCAGTGACTCCTGGTACGTTGAGTTAATTAAGTATCCATCCAGTTCGTACTTACTTCGGGTCCAGGAACCACCGGTGAACCGTCTGTCTGGATGGTGGACATCCGAGCGGCTCGGTCATGGCGTAGCAACCCATCCAGCAAGGCCAAGCCCAGGAACGTTTCACCGCTTCCGCCAAAAGCCTCGGTGCGGTCATCGCTCGTGGTGGTCGTCTGTTTTGGTCCGTTTCGTGGAAAGCCGGGTGAGGTATGAGGAGGGTGAGGTATACGGTGAGCAGAGTGTGGTGAGGAATTTGGAACAGTTGGGGTTTCAAAGGTGGATTCAAACTTGCCTCGGGTGGATTTGAGCTCGCAGTCCGACAGTCCGTGAAGGTACAGAATGGTATAGCCAGAACCCAAAAAGGAAAGTGATGCAACCAGATATCAGCCAATTCAATGTTCAGAATGCAACAAATAAAAACTATAGTGCCTGTACAGTCCCTGCTTCCAGCCTATATAGGAAACTCTCCGACGTTCAAGTTTGTGGACCTCCGACGTCCCTCGAAACGAAAGAAACCACCGAACTCCGCGTCTGCCATCGACCCGTTCCGGCACCCCACCGCGTTCCGACCGCGGTTCCCTCGCAGCACTCCACTCGCAGGGGCCAGAGCAAGAGCACGGCACTGGCGCTCCAGGCGACCCAAAGCTCCAACAAGACCTTCGCACCCGCGGGACGACGAGCACCGCGAAGCCGCGAAACCGCAGCCGCGACGACACGGTGACGTTACCGAGACGAAGACGGTGAAAACGCAGGATCGACCGAGGATCGACACTGAACCTGCGATCGACTCAAAGCGTGGGAGATTCGTTTTTCCTTTTCTGGAAGACATGCGAAGATGGAAGACATGGGTTGGTGAAACAAACTCTCCCCTAAAACCATGTGAGTGAGGAATGTGTGGATCCTCTTCAAAGATATGCTCACTTAGTGTTCAAATGATCAACGAGTCCATGCATATCCTGGTATGGACTGAGTCCATAATATGCTGCGCTCCTTTGAAGCAACTAGAATCTAGAGTTCACATAATTTAAGGAAACCCAGCGAAAAAAAACTGTTTGAACTGATCCAACGGGTGTGGTTTACATCCGAGCAACATAGGTGGACGATGATTCGATGATGGATGATGATGGATGTATCAAAAGTCTGGCAGGCAAGGCAAACAAGCAGAACTCCAACTATCTAACCTCTATGCAGGCATTGTGCCGCACAAAGGAAAGGCACACATTTGGCCCGTACATGTAAGAAAATGACATCGAAAACAGTACCACTGGCTACGGCCATGTTTTGGGGCTCATCTGCTTAGAACAACCTCCAACTGATGGTTGAGGTATGTTGAGGTCCGAACGCATGACTTCAACAATCTCCACTAAGTCTATAGAATCCTAAATGTTGAGATATATTGGGGAGAGTTGTTACTATTCCACCTACACTCAATCCCTTTCAGTTGTTTACTTGGATCCTAAAGCGTGCGCTGCGTTGCTGTTGCGACATCCAAAATCATCAACCATGTCTTTGTGAAATTGGTTCACCTGTCGAAATCGTATCCATCCTTTGTGCATTATCAACCCTGCGTCCTCACCCTCACCATCCACACCCTCCAGGGCCGCGGCCGTGGACGGCGCGCGATTCACCCGCCGCATCTCCTGCGCAATGAAGGCGAAGCGCCGTAGGTGGCGCAAGCAGAACTGGTGGTTCACCTCGGCCGCTTGACCGGGGTTGACCTGGCTCGTAGCTTGCAAAAGCTATGGACCCAAACAAAGTTGATATCCAAGAAAGTGGTACTTGTTTTTCCAATGTATTTTGAGACCCCCTGGTTTTAGTAGGTCCATGTCCATGTCCCATGTTGCATCATGTTCTAAGGTATAAATGGAAGGTCCAGGTGGTTCAAAGACCAACACACAGATCAAAGCGAGTCCCAAACGAACCAGCGGGATCACTGGAGAAGAAAACATGTTTTTTTGGGGAATCGACTGCCTTGATTTCAGCGCATAAACGGAGGGTGCTCAGGGTCTCAAGATTTGAGGTCTAAAGCGGTTTACTGTGCTATTGGTTTAGCAGCAGCAGGAGCAGCAGCCGCTGCGGCGGCAGCAGTGGTGTAGTGTGGTCGTAATAGTAGAAGTAGTAGTAGTAGTAGTAGTAGTAGTAGTAGTAGT